CCCCCACTCCCCCCACTCCCCCACCCCCCCGCCCCCGCCGCCCGGTTCCCTGTCGGTGCCTCACCTGTGGAGCCTGCCCCTCGGCTCCCTTCCTCACCTGCTGGCACGTGACCCACCGGCACAGACCGCACAGGAGAAGGGACGTCCCCCGGCCACCCTGCCTAAGCCTTCAGAGGCGAGCTCCCCGCCCCCAGTTCCGTGTCCAGCAGCCTCTCGAACCCTCTGCTCAGGCGCAGCAGGGACGAGTGGCCCGTTCTCTCAGCGCCCCAGCGGGGTGAGGCTGTGCGTCTTGGGCTGGGTGAGGCCACCCGCCCCGCCTGGAACCAACTGCACGTGTGCACGCGTGTGAGTGCCGTGTGAGTGCGTGAAAGGGGCTCTGAGACTAAGGCTGGCCAGGACCCCCTCTGTCTGCGGGAAAGTGAGGAGGGGGAGGACTAGTTAGAGCCAGCTCATCGGAGCGTGAGGACAGATGAAGGGTGTGGCGGGGGGGGGTCCCCAAAGGCAAGGTGTGGTTCATCCCAAGCTGGGTGGCACCGCCATGGCGCCTGGGTCCTTGTGGTCAGGTGTGCCCACGGGTGGGCAGTGCTCACACAGAGCTCGCAGTGGGGTGGAGGAGCGGCCGGGGGCTCCGAGGACCCACAGCCTCTGTGTAGCGAGGGGCTGTGCACGTCCTCCGAGGCTCAGCTGGCAGTGCTCGGGCCCAAGGACAACCTTCAGCAGGCGACTGCACACTGGACAGGCGCTCCCCACTTGCTCCAGGTCCCAGGTACTGCTGTTCTGAGAGAGGGAGGACGCGGCAGGCAGGCCGCTCTGGACCCGCCCTCACCACCCGCAGCCCTGTCAGACCGGGTGCGAACCCCTGCCCGGGGCAGATGGCCTGGCCTGGGGTCCCTCGCTCAGGGCTGCAGACAAGTTAAACAGGCCCCATGTTCACCCACGTAGCACATAGCGGCTGTCCAGGCCTCTGGGTGTTAAACCCGCAGCCAGGGCTGTGCCTGCAGGGAACTGGCTTCTCTTGCTAGTACGTCTCGCAACCGTCCCACGGCTCGGAACTCGAAGTTGCTGAAAAGGCTTTAGAGCTACCTGCCTGCTTCCTAACGAGATCCCTACCCTTTTACGCTCAGAAGTTTTCTAACATTTTGCTGGTCTGCAAACTAACGGAAAGAAAAAGGAAGGAGAGAAAATGAATTCTGGCCTTTTGGCAATCATTAATTTGACTCACTTCCCTTTGGAAATGAAAGGCCAGTGCCTATTAGCTTTAGGGGCATTGAGCGCAAAGTCAAATATCGAAAGGCCACGACAAAGAGGGGCCCCATTCTAATCTGTGGGGAGACACGCTGCTTCCACAGAAATGCAGATCAGACCCAGAAACCGGGCAGCGTCCTTCCAGGCACCTCCGCGCCAGAGATGGTGTCTTAAGTCTCTTGTGCTTAAGAGTTGGTCTCCAATCCTGGCTGGTGTGGCGCAGCGGACTGGGTGCCAGCCTGCAAACCACTGGAAGGTCGCTGGTTCAGTTCCCAGTCAGGGCACAGGCCTGGGCTGCAGGCCAGGCCCCCAGTTAGGGGTGCGTGAGGGGCAACCAATGGATGCTCCTTTCCCTCTCTATCTCTCTCCTTCCCCCTCTCTACAAACAAACAAACAAACAAACAAACAAAATCCCGGGGGTGGGGGGAGAGTCTCCACGCACAGCTGAGACCGCTCCTCTACCTCAGCAGAGGGGCAGCCCCCGGCGGGGCTGCCGCAGACTCCCCCCGCAGTTCTCTGACTTCTCCCTCAGTGAGGAGAGATGGGTGGGCGGGAGTCCCAAAGACCACAGTGAAGGGGAAGGATCCATGGTGTGACCACGGTGTGCATGTGGCCACAGGAGACGCCAGCAATGAGCTCACCTGAATGGTAGGGCCCTTTCCCCCTCGATATGTGGACTCTATGCCTGGCGCCTGGCCCCTGCACATAGTAGGTGCACAATAAACATTTGCTGTGTGAGCATCGGGTGTGGTCTCTCCTAGGGCTCCTGCACGAGATGGCCAGGGTCGCCGGCCCAGGTCACAGATAAAGAGGGCACGTGCAGAGGGACCGACAGCCACCCAAGTGCTCTGGTGACTGTCTCTTGCTAGCGGGGATTGTGGATATTACTTTCTTGCCTTTGCTTACTCACACCACCTAATCTTCTAGAAGAAAGACGTGTGCCTTCCTTTTGTAACTGCAACAGCAAGCTTGTGATTGAGACCAGAGCCAGGAGCGCTCTGACCATGAGTGACGGATGCATTCGGGGGAAATCCACAAAGCTCGCAGGGTCCCAGGCTGGCCCCCTGGCTCCTGGCCTCTCGCGGTCCTCCTGCCCCCCCACCTTCCTGCCCCCAGGGCACGGCAGTATCCGGGCTCCGTGCACGCAGGGAAGTGCTATGCAGACAAGCCTGCTGCCAGCAGGACCCGCCTGTTTGGTTAGCACCGAACCGTGGCGCACACTGTCCCCGAGGACGGCCGATCCCCGGCTGAAATTTCAGACTCAATTAGCACAGAGACAGGCTGGGGCTGTTCTTGAGCAACTAATCACCAGGCAACTGCCAAGACGGTGCTTTACCTGGGATGTGCCCGTGAACTTCAGGGTGTATCTCTTCAAGCACTCATAATAGGGAGCAGCCAGGATGCAATTTAAACTCCAACTTGAAAGTGGTTTTCGAGGTTCCTTTCCACTAATTTAAGGAGCTGTGGTGGGAGTGAGGGTGGGGAGGGACGGCAGAAGCTGGGGAAGGAAACCTGTCTGTCCTAGAAAGTGAAGCCTCATTATGCTTGGCGCAGACGGACTGGAGGGCTGGCGGCAGCCGGCTCCTGCCGAACCTGCCCGGCGCCCCTCCCGGTGCTGCCTGGGATGAGCGGTGGTGGTGGCGGCGGTGGTGTGAGGGGACAGGTGGGGTGGTGCTGGCCCAGCCTCTCTAGCCACCACGGGCCGGAGGCTCACCGGGTGGTCTCTGCTGGTGGGGACGCAGAAGCTGGGGGCACGGACGAGCAGGCGGGCATCACCCCCCCTCCCCTGGACCCGTGCGTGACCTGGAGATGCCCTCCTTCCCTTCGAGCTGGCGGAGGCTCCAGATCTGGTGAGAACCCTGGTGGCTGGAGCTGGCGTCCCTTCAGGGGTGACCTTCAACGGCTCTCGATTTAGCACCAGGCCCACACTGACACTCTGAGTGAGACGGAGACTTTGCACATTCGCACCGAAAGGCCATCTCATGCCTGAGCTTCCCGTCCGCAGCGTGAAGTGTGAAAACGTCACCCGATAACACAAGGCTAGTTCCCAATTTAGTCCAGAAGAAACCCAGACCGCCTTTCAGAGTCTGCCTCATTCCACTCGTCTGCTCCTCACGCGGCCCAGCTGACCAGCAGTCACCTGGCCGCACCAGACAGAGGCTTCCTGGGTCGGGCCGAGAGCACCCCGGACGCAGCACCCCTGCGCGGGGTGGGTCTCACCCCGGCCCTGCTGCTGAGCGGCCAGGCGGGGCTCGGCTGCACTAGGCCCCACAGTGGGGGACCCTGCACCCACTGGGACGGACACATGGGACACACCTGGCACGGAGCGGAAGCCGAGCTGCCCGGGCAGTAATTAGGTCGCACAGAACGCCCCCAGTCCTAGAGATCACCCTGGGACCATCTAAACAACATTTGGGGGCACAGGGGCGGAAGGCCACGCTCCCTTCTGTGAGGCATCAAAGGACGATCCGGGGACCCTTGGCAGGTTCCCCCGCCCTCGTCACCCCCACCGCGGAACCGCCCCAGGCCCAGCTGACGTCTCTGCTGTGGCCGATGTCAGGCCGACAGTGTTTCAGGGCTGAACACAAAGCCAGTCTCTCTCCTGTTTGCCCCTTTTGCACCGGCACTCGGAGGCCTGGAGACAAGCCCATCGCCTCCCAGCCTCTCCCTTTGCCGACCTGGGCGTGCTGCCTCTCAGCGCTCTCTTCCCCGGCCAGAAAATGAGATGGTCATCAGGGTCTGCCCGAGCCTGGCACCTTTCCCAGTCTTCCGACTTGAGAAAGTTAAAACAGTCGGGAAAACAGAGTAGCACACACCCACCCTAGTCCAGTGCCCAGCCTCAGCGATGACCAACCCACGGCGCACCTTGTGCCTCTGCGAGCCCTGCCCCCACCCCAGCTTCCCCTCACGTCCATCAGAAACTATTCACCTGGCATCTTCCGGGAGAGGGGAGGGTTACAAGTGGGGGCGGGGCTTGTTGGCCTCTGCCCTGGCCCTGCGCCCCCAGTCACGGGCCTGCCACCTTCACATTTTTTGCTAGAGCCACGCTCTACCTGTGCTATTATTTACTTATGACGTCACCTTTTGGCCTGAGTACATTTGTTTAAAATGGAAACTTGGTGTCGCTCCCACAAACAGAAGGTATCACTAAAGATGACAAGGAAACAAGGCCACTACACCAGAAGTCCAAACCACTGGCTGCCCAGGGTGCCGAACACTATGGAAAATGGCGCCGGGCGCGAGGCAGCGAGGCCACTGGCACCAGGTGGGGACGTGCTCAGGTTGGGGCGGTTGGGATTCAGCGGCTGAGCATCTCGCACGGTGACGGCTGTTCCTTCCTCAACCTCCCAGTTGCCGAGCCCTGGTCTTTCCCACCTGCCTGTCTCTGATGTGCCCTGAGCCACCTGACAGTCAGGACTGGCCACCGGCACGTGCCCATTCGCGTGTCCTACCTGGTGACACGGGAAGGCCCCTTTCCCTTCGGTGTGTGCGTGTGCTACTAGTTTAGTAAAAGAAACATCTGTGTGCGTTTTCCCCAGAAAGGACAACCTGTCTCTCAAGTTGCCAAGTGTCTTTGAAAGGGAACACCGGCCAACACCGCCCTCTCCCCCGAGAGCAAAACGCAGGAAAATTCGCTCAGAGAGAACCGCGCGGAACACAGGCCTTACTAAGCTTTACCTCCAGACGGCCCGGTCTGCTCGAGTGCGCTCTGACGGGTTGTAAAGGTGCTTCAGGAACTGGGAAACAGGCCCTCGTTGTGGACAAGAAGGTTTATTGCTTACAAAAATAGTCACAGAGCAGAGCCGAACAGCCAGCCCGACAACACGCATGCACACGGGGGCTCGTCTGGACCTCCAGGCTCGTGGGCATGACTCGGAGCCCAGACCCAGGGGCGCCAGGTCACGGGTATCACATATGCAGAAGAGCGTGCTGTGTGACTTATTTCAGAGGCGGGGGGAGTGGGGTACGGAGAGAGAGAAACTTCCATCTGTTGTCCACTTATTGATGCACTCGCTGGTTGACCCCGGTGTGAGCCCCGACCGGGGCTCGAACCCACAACCCTGGGACACTGGGAGCGAGCTCCCACCAGCGGAGTCCCCGGCTGGGCCCCTGCTGCGGCCTGACGGGGTCCTCTCCGCCTCCCACATGCCTGCGAAGGTGCAGCACAGAGACGGCGTCTGCTCCTCCAGAGGCTCGGCCCCGAGAACGACACGCTGTTTCACACCTGGGGGTGGGGCGGGGGTTGCGGGGACCCTGCACTGACACTGGGCAGTGAGGGCGGGTCACTGCCGGCAGGTGTCGTGGAAGGCCTCGAGGGTCCGGAAGTCCCTCCAGGTGGGCGGGAGGCCGTCCTGCAGAAACTTGCCGCAGCGCTGGCAGGGGGCCTGGAACAGCTTTATGTAACTCCGCAGCCAGGTCTGAAAAGAGAGTGGGGGCGGGGGAGGAGCGGGGTCTGGGGCCTCCGCAGCATCCTGCCGGTCAAGCCCACTGACCCTGAGGACGGAGGACCTAAGGCAGCTGTGACTCCAAAAGACACCCTGTGATGCAGAGGAAGCGGCGCTCGGAGTCCACGAGGCTGGCCGTCCATTTTGAGGGGCTTCTAAACCGAGACCCCTGCCCCAGAGGCAGAAAGTGCCCCTGAGGAGTGGCCGAGAATCAGGCCACCAGGAGTGGCTCAGGAGCACGCGTCCCCAAGGCCCACGTGTCCCCGAGGCCCACGCCTCTGGGTATCAGCACCGACCCTGTCCTGCTCCCCACCCCGAGTGGCCTCGGACATGCGCTGGAAGACTGCACATGGATGTCGCTGTCAGAATTCTCCCCTGAGGTCAACGTGGCTTCTGTCTAATTGGATTTCAGAGGTCATCACTCACTGTCACAGTGCAACCCAACACACCTGCGGGGGGTAGGGACAGCCTGGTGCCACCAAATAACATAATAAGCGGCAAAGGCACTCAAGCGGTTCAGAGTGCAGAGTTCTCTCGGGCGTCATACATAGGGATGAGTCTCACGTAACTCAATTCTCAAACTCAAGGAGATTCGCTGCCAAAAAAACAAAACTCCACAGCCCGAACCCCACACAACAAGTAAGCAAGTTCTCGTGGTGACAGGGGCTCTCGAAGCTCGTCATTCAACGTCCTCCTGAATTATGTCGGTAAGAGAAAACTGCTCTTTGACGAGGTTGGCCCAGTGGATTGACATGAATCCTCTCTCCTCATTGCCGCCACCCCCTTGGGGCGGCCTGTCCCCATCAACACTGATCCCCCAAAGGTGTGATGTCGGAGGATCACTCAGCTGAACTGTTGTTCTTCGGTGCTGGCCAAGTTCAAATGCTTCCCGCATCCCCAAGTCAGTCACCCAAGGGAAGTGACACCTCGACAGGCTGGGATAGCAGTGAGCCTCTGCGTCTCCCCGGCAGCGAGGGGCCCCCAGGCATGTGAGCCGCTGCGTGCATGGCTGTGCCGAGCAGCTGGTCTGCTCATTCAAGCTCCCGGCTCTGCGAAGCCAGGCTCGTGGCCCCCAGGAAGCCAACCGCAGCTGAGAGGCTTGGCTGTCGGGGCAAGTATGCGGGATGACAGGCACGAGGGGCACCCACCACGACCAGCCTGCCTGGCAGGAGTTAAAAAGGCAGCTCCAGCTGCGGTGAAGGACGGGCCTACTGGTGGGAGAGCGCGGAGCTCGGTTGGCGTGGTGTGCACACAGCTGGCGGGGTGTGCGGCGCCAGCTGCTGGCCCTGCTTAGGCCAGCTGGCAGCTGTGTGGTCGATCTGGGCAGCAGTGTGCTGACGGGCGGGCTCTGGGGCGGTGGGGTGCAGCCCTGACCTGGGGCGCTTGCTGACCACCATGGTGTGAATGTCCAGGTTCGACCCCAAGCCACCAGTGGTTGAACGGCCGGCTCACAACAAGCTGTGAGTTCAGCGAGAGCCGGCACACGTGGTGCTGACTCCAGCGCACCATGGGGGGCTGTCTGGGGGTGGTCCCTGCCCTAAGACCCAACCCTTTCAATCCAAGGGTGATGCGTCTGCGGGAAGTGCCAGGTTTGTCGGTGGCTGCCACCCGCTCGGTGACAGCACGGGGCCTGGCACAGACCACGAGCCCAGGACTTGTCTCCTGACCACACCAGGGCTGGAACCTGTGTTGGAAGGTCACCTCTGAAACCACCGACTGTCCAGTGAGGACAGAAACACACCTTCGCTCAGCAGAAATGGCTTCTCCTAGATCCCGCCCCAGCATTTTGACACCGGCCCACCCGCTGTGTGCAGGAGACACCCACCACCGGTGAGCCTCACCGGAGGGGAGTTAGGGGGCGGGCGAGAGCCTTTGCTCGTACAGCCACTTACCATGAAGGACCTGACCACGACGTCCGGCATCTGGGGCAGCTGGTAGTGCAGCAGGGCAGTGGTGGCGTGGTCTGTCACCTGGGGACCAAGGACAATGACGGGAGTCAGAGGCCCCTCCCCGTCAGCACCCAGGAAACAAGGCACACACAGGCCTTTTGGATGACAGACAAGCTTCTGAACATGCCCGAGGAAAGGACATCTAAAATAAGATCTGAGTACAAAAGTCAGTCTGCTCGGGACGGGGAAGGGGAGGGGTGCGGCCGGCAGGAAGGAAGAAGGCACTGAAGGCCTGGAGAGAAGTGGGAACGTCCAGGCAAGCCGGCAGAGGAGGGGCGCGGCCAGAGGGGCCGGAGCGGTGGGGGGGCGCCGGGAGGAGGGTCATGAACAGTCGCTGCGTGAAGCAGTGACTTCTGCCGCGTCGGCACGTGGACCCGTCTCCGGCAGCAGAGCTGGCCTCCCCGCTTCCTTCCACCCTCCCTCTGTCCCATCCTTGGCAGCCGCATCGGCTTCACCACGAGGAACATGGCACTTTCTCACGAGCTCTCCCTTGGGCCTCGCAATTGCTGTCTTTCTGAGGCACTTGTCTCTACCCAGCCCTCGGAAGGTGGGGTCTGTTTTCAGCACCCCCGGAGGGCCACACCCATCCCACAAGCCCAGGCCGAGGCTCCCCCAGCAGGGCCCAGGGCCCAGTGGCTTGAAGTCCACCGAGGCACCCCAGGACCAGAGGGAGCCCACTGGTCCTCAGCCCTGGCCCTGTCCTCAGACCCCAATCAAACATGTAGCCTCCCTCCTGGCTATCGGGGTGCTCTGGAAAACAGGGTGGTCTGTGGCCCCCTGAAACTCTGAAATCAGACGACACCAGGGACTGCCACTGCCTGCTCCCCGTCAGCAAATCTGTAGGTCTCGTCTGACCTGATGGCTATGTTCAGACACACAGTCACTTCGGTCATCTTCGTCAGGGGGCCTTGCCGTCACCAACACAGCAGCTATGTCACCAACACGTCACTCTGCACGAGCACAAGTGACGGCATGCCCTGTGTCCACGGGTCGGCCCTGCCCATCGAGCACTGTGGGCTGAGCTCAGGACCTCAGAGCAGGGCGCACGCCAGGCGGTGAGCAGCCAGAAGAGCTGGTGCAGGCCCCATGCACACCCAGAAATGAACCCAGCTGTGCGTCCACACAGGGAGGCCCCGCCTCCGCCCCAAGGATGAGGATGCAGGCTCTTGGCTTGTAAGCTCCTACCCCCAGATACAATGGTCGTGCCCGTGAAACCTTGCCCTCCAGCCTGCCTCCCCATCTCTTCCGCTCTCCCTGGATCTTGACCTTGCCCTCTGCCCGCGCGGCAAGGCCTGCATGAGGGCCAGTGAACCCCATGTGGGGGCAGGGATCTTGCCCATCTGGTTCCCATTGTCTCTAAGGCCTAGAATGACGCCTGGTATGGAGGAGCAGGTGCTCAATGCGTATTTGTTGAATAAAGAGAGAACCTGAAAGTGCTCGCTCACCAGTGGCCGTGCCCCAGGAACACCTGCACTGGCTTTCTCACAGATGCGGCGAGCAAGCCGTGTCTCCGACGCTGCTGAGAAACCCTTGCCCAAGTGACCTTCGGGACCAACGTCCTCCCTCCTTCAAGGGCAAGGGCTCTTTTCACTGTAAGCGTTTCTGACAGACAGCTTTCTAAAACAAGCAGTGCTTTTTTTAGACCAGCAGCAGCGATAACTTGGCCACACGACAGGTGGCGGGTGGCGGGTGAGACTGACTGCTCTGACACAGCACAGCGACCGTGGTCCAGGGGTGCCCGGTCATACAGGCCTGGCTGCCGCCCACCCGGCGCCTGCTGCGGACCCCGGCAAAGGGCCCTGGATAAGCTGGTGAGATGCTCCTGACAGCCACGCTGGCCGTTACAAAAGAAGGTGCGTCCCTGTGTTGCAGGGCCCCTCACAGAGCTCCGCCCCGGCCAGCCTCCTACCCCAGCTGTGGGCACCCACCTCCAGCCCTGGGAGCCCCCTGGATGAGCCCAGGTCCGTCCATTTCAGCCGCCTGAGCTCCCGACTTGGGCCTATCACCCAAACCTGCCCGGCCGCCTGGAGGCCCCCTCCAAGGCTGGGACGCTGTGTGGCCACACAGCCTCTTTGCTTTGCTTCCGACAGTTTTTAACACAGGTGACCCGCACTGAGGCCCAGGAAACTTCATCCAGCTCGGTCCCAGCTTCTCGTGAAGTACCACAGTGGGCGGCTTATCTTTCTTAGCCGCCTCCGCATTAGGGAAATGGGGCAGCGACGGACAGCACCTGTCTCGTGGGGTGACCGTGAGGACTGAACAAGACAGTCGGTCCACACTGGCACCTCAGTGAGCACCGGTGACCGTCCAGCTGCGAGTCCACTGCTCTGAAGGCCCTGCCAGAGGGTGTGGGCCCCACCTCTTTTGCTCTCACCCCCTCTGCTCAAGCTGTTGCTGGCCCCCCAAGTGCTCCATGCCCGCCTCCCCGCTCCCATCCCCTTCCGGACCAGTCAGATCCACGTGCTGGGGGAAGCCGCCCAGGCCCCCAGGAAGGCCACGCCTCTGCGCTCGGTCTCTTCAGTGCTGGAGCTCCTCGTGGCTGCACTTGCGTATCACCAGGCTCTGAGGTTCTGTTTGCAGCTGGTTTCCCTGAGATGCCTGTGAGCTCTGAGAGGCCAGAGACCCGGCTCACCCTGTGCCCGACGAGGGGGTCTGAGCTGACTGAAGGGAAGATTGTTCTATCCCCGAGACACCTGGGGAGGTGTGTGGGGCAGAGAACAAGGCCTCCACGGGTGGGGACAGGAGACAGGAGCCGAGGACTCTGGACTTTCAGTCTGTCCTCGGAGTTCCCAGGCTCACCGCCAGGCTCTCCTGCCCTTCCGGCACGCCGGAACTCCCCAGTGAGGCTCGGTCCACACGCTGGCGTCCGAAAGGGGTAGGGTGGGTGTTCCTTCACCTGGAGCAGAACAGGGTGACTGTGGAGTCCCCACGGCCTCACTCCCCGCCAGGTCAGGAGCCGCACTCAGGGTGGACTCACAGGGTGGAGTCTCTGCTAGGCCTGGTCCTTGAGTGATGGACGGGAGCCCAGCGCTCGGACAACTCGGGGCAGCACACAGTGTGAGCAGGAAGTAACTGGCTGCCTGAAAAACTCAGACTGAGAAGCGCATCTGTCACCACCGCGCTCCTCCCTGCACACCAATCTGTCCCCCTTTCTGTCCCTTCGGTAGATGAGCCACGACACTGGCCAGGACTAGGGGTTCAAGCTGTGGCCTAGGAACGGCGCTGCCGGGCATGTGGTTCGAGGACCCGCAGTGCTGGCATCACTGGGTTCGGGGGCCCCACTTCAGACCTGGGCCCAGAAGACAAGCGGCCGCTGCAGCCATTCTCGGGGATGCTGAAACACAGGAGACTGCAAACGTTAACGAGCACACGAGTCCCCGGGGCCGGCTACCAGGCAGATGCTGACTATGTAGATGCTGGGGTGGGGCTTCCTCCGCACTGGACATTTCCAACAGACGCCTTAGGCGACGCCCAGGCTGCCGGTGCGCAAGCAGCCGGGTGGTAGAGCCGTCCAGGCACGACGGGGGAAAAAGGCCCCAAAGGAGCAGGCATCTGACTGTGGGCACAAAACCAAGGAGGGCAAATCTGAAGGAGAGCTGATCTTTTTTGCGAGTCCCAAGTAAACGGGGCTGCTCGGTTCCACCACAGTGCTGTGGATGGGGGTGCTGGTGCGGTGCTGGGATGTTCCTGTTTCTGAAAGGCGCTGTCCGGGACCCCAAGAGTACTTGCTGACTTACAATCCCTGTAGGAGTTCCCGCTGCAGGTGCCCCTCACGCTGACCCCCATGGTGATGAGGGGGTGCTCTCTTTATTCCCACTGCACCGGAGGGGAGGCACAGGAGCAGACCCACAGTCTCGTCCTCGTGGGCGAGGACCACGGCGTCTGCACCCAGACGCTGCCGCCCCAAGCCCGTGGCCTCCCTCCCAGCAGACGCCCCAGCCAGCTCTCCTGGTTTGCTGATAACGGCACGAGCCCCAGGTACCCAGGTGCCCAGATGTCACCCGCCCACCGCCTCCCATCTTCAGACTGCCAGAGTCCCCATTTGAGGCACAGGTTGTGAGCACTGTCACCGTGGCTACTGCTCCAGAGCAGAAGGAACTGAGAGCGCTGCAAAGTGTCCCCCTCCAGATCCAGCGGGAGTCACGCTGTCCGTGCTGGCTGGTGAGTGGCCCCCCAGACGGGGCACCTGACCGGTCTTTCTATCGCTGGCCAGCGGTGAGCTCTTTGCAAACAGTCCGGGGCAAAGCACTCCTCCATTGCCAAGTGGTGACGGTCGAAATTTCCTGAACTTCCCCATCACCAATTACAGCAGCATTTCAATAGGAGGAAACAAAGCTGACTCACTTGCCACGCCCTCTCTCCCTGACTTCCAAGTTCCTGTCCCAGGACCCAGCTCCACAGCATCAGGTGAGACATGGCTGCCGAGTGATGGAGAAACTCACCCACGATGATCTTGCTTTTTGTCAAAGCATCCCACCTTCAATGTATTTTGATTTTATACTTTCAATGACAAAGTTGTTTTTTTGCTCAGCATCCAAAACATGAAAAAAAAAAAAAAAACCAGGCCTGGGGCAACAATAAAAAATTGCTATTAACTAATTTAAACTGACTCTGTGCCAGGCAGGCGGGGTTCACCCCATGTATTGTGAAGCTAATGAGATTCCGCTGGGAGATGAAAGCCACCCTGCCTGGCTGTGAGCTGAGGGCACTAATGCTTCCAGAAGCATCACCCCACCAGAGCGCTGGTTTGAAAGAGGCGTGTGGAGAGATCAAAGCAGACGGGACCCAAGGACAGGAGGGAGGAGACAGGGACCCGCAAAGGGGGGTGGGGAGCATGAGGAAGGAAAGAAAACTCGACTCAGAGGAGAGGATGGAGAAGGCCCTGGGGCTCTGCACCGGAGGGCAGGAGAGGTCCCCGCTTAGTGTGGGGTGCGGGTCCCCCACCCCCGCTGGGCTGCAGGTGCTTCACTTTGAGTGACGTTCCCATCGTCTCCAGCAGACCCACCTCGTCCTATTAACCT